GCCTCACTCGGGGTCGGCGGGCAGAGCTGGCAGCTATTCCCGGCAGCAGGGACATTGTTCAGTCCCCCTGGGCTTTGCTCTCCCCCTTTGTAAGATGAGGCCGGTGCCACCCTGTGCCGGGACAGTTAATGCGCTGGGCACCAGCTCCCGGCACAAGACCTGGGGGAAGGACAGACGGTGACACGTCACTGTCACCCTCTTGGCCAGTTCCCAGCAACACCCTTGGGTGCCCTGTCCCATGGATGCCACAGCCACTGGCTGCAGAAAGGCACTGTTTTCACCCAGACAGGCCACAGAGCTTCAAAGGTGGTCCTGGGATCATCCTCCTCTGTGGACTGTCCCGCCTGGCCCCAATGCAGGAACAGGCTGAAACCTCCAGAGGGGAGCCCTGGAAAAGAGAGGTGGTGGCTCCATGGCAATAATGGGGCAACGTGACGATGCCGGCAGGACTGGAAAATGGTCCATGCAAAAAGAGCTGAGGCTGGCCGGACAGGGTCAAGGTGGGACCGGGGAGCAGAGCTGGGGCACCCAGGCTCTGCCTGGTCACCCTGTGCCCACCCTGACACAGGAGCAGACATAGCACAGGCACAGGGATGTCTCGTAGGCTGCAGGTGACAGCCCCCCAGCCTGCCCCAGGGACAGAGGAAGGATGAAAAGGCTTTATTGATAAATACAGACTATGTACAGAGGGGAGACATCTCCACCCAGCCCAGCACCCCGGGGCCTCCTGGCCAGGGGGGAACCGGAGCCCGGCGGGTCATGGCCTGTCCCCCCCGGCACAGCCCAGCAGCAGGGCCACAGCTGCGCCGACCCTCCCGGAGACATTTGGTCTCAAACCTCCTGCAGCAAACGCAGCGCCTGCCCGTGTCCCCAGCCGAGAGGGACCACTGCGGCAGCACAGCCCCGCACAGCCCCTGCTGGGGGGTCACCCTGTGGGGGGAGCAGGGGCTGCCCCTGCTCCGGCAGGGCTAGGACACAGCATGGTGCATCCCCAGAGGTGCCACTGCCCCCAAGCCCCCTGCCCTCTCCCCGCAACCAGTGGGGGGGAATCAGTTCCTTGGCGGCAGGGGCTGGTTGACAATCACTTGCACGACAAAATCCTTCTGGATCTTGGTCTCCTGCAGCCGTGTGCGGTCGGTGAGCAGCTTGCCCGAGAAGAACCAGCGCTGCCAGGCCAGGTCGATGCCCTCCTGTGCCTGCAGCTGCTTCTTCAGCTGCCCAATGGTGTCGCCCATGCTGGCCCTGAGCCGCAGGTCCTTGCCGGTGGAGAGCCGCACCTTGAGGGCGAACTCCCGCCGGGCATTTGGCAGAGGTTCGGCCGGTTCCGCTGCCTCCTCCTCGCTCCTCTCCAGAATCAGGTTGACGGGAGGTGCCAAGCAGTAGACGGGCAGCTGGTACCGGTTGCCCAGCTCATCGTAGCACTCTGTCAGGGACCCTGGGGATGGCAGAGTGAGATGCTGTGGGTGGGCATCCCCATGGACCACCCAAATGGGGACAGGGACACCCCAGGCAGTGGGGCAGAGCCTGCCTTGCCAGCCTTGGCTTGGCTGAGCTGCGTGGACGGCAGCTGGGAACCACTCTCCTCTCCAACCTGGGACCCCCTCCATGTGCCCAGACATGGGGCACTCTGCACCCACCCCACCCGCACCCCTGGTACCATCCCTCACCATGGGGCAGGGTGATACTGGCTCCATCGAGGATGGCCTGGGCCAGGCTGTGGTCGTTGGCCTCCACGGCATAGGCAGCTGCCTTTAGGGCATCCCAGATCTCCTTGCGGCCCTCAAAGGCGGGTGCCGTGTCCCAAAACTCATCCCGCTTGCTGCGCAGCTGCCCGTCTGTCATGGGGTAGTCGCTCTTCCACTTGGGACGCTCCTTCTTCAGTGGCTCATTGCGGCCTGGGGAGGGCGGGGGGATGCTCAGCCAAGTGACGGGGCTCCCCCTTGGGTCCCAAACCCCCCCATCTCCCCATCCCCATGGGCTCCTGGGGACCCCTTGCACCATGCGCAGCAGCATTCGTGGGACCATCCTGCCCAGCACAGGACAGTCCCCCAACACAGCCAGGGGCAACTTGGCTAAAGCTAGCCCTGCCCAAGGTCCCGCTGACCCCATAGCAGCTGCCCTCCCAAGTGGCACCTCTTGCCCCCATGGTAAGGGGACCAGCCCCCACCCACAGGGTGGCTGCGGGGCCTCAGGGCCCTTTGAGGCAGAGCAGTATTTTTAGCTTGGGGAATTAGCCAGGAAATAAGCTGGTGAGTCGGAGTGGGAAGGGGATTACGGGGGTTGAGCTGCAGCCCTGGCAGGGCAGGGGGCAGGACTTCTCTGTCCTCTCTGCCCACCCTGGGGTGGCATGGACCGGCTCCAGACAAGGCGGCAGGCACACAGCATGGAAGGCATTAGGGGGGCAGAGGACATAGCCAGGGTGGGGGGCTCCCAGCCTGTAGCAGCTGAACTCAGCTCCACAGGCTCTCCACAAAACAGCTCCCAACCATGTCCCCAGGTAACCCCAGCAGCCAGCACTGCCCAGGGCACAGCGGCAGGGGGGTGGGACACCCCCCCCACCAC